AAATTTTTACTTTTTTTTACTGTTTATAAATAATAAATTTAAATTTTTATTAAAAAAAATTTTTAAATTACTTTTGCAAATAGAAAGAAATGAGTAAAAAGTGAATAAAAAAGAAAATTATAAAAAAATAAAAGTTTGAAAATTTTCAAAATTTACTGTTTAAGATTTTTTTTTAGATTAAAAAAATGTAAAAAAATGTAAGTTTTTAAGAAATAATTTTAAACTTACGAAACATAAATAGTATCAAAAAACTGAAGCACTTATAAGTTTCACCAAACATGCTCATAATCAGCTTACTTGGTCATAATTTGTCTACTTAAAATATATTGCAGGTGAGGCCCCTAAATATATGAGTAATTTTAATCTTACTAATTTAACCCGTGACCCTTAATATAAATTGGTCATGAGTAATTTTCTTCGACTTACAAACTCAATTGATCAAATTCATTTAACTAAAACTGGTGATGAAATGATTCCAACTTGACACACTTATTTTTTTAGGTCTATCCATGGACTCATAAAAGTTATTTATTTTTTTAGTAGGTTGGAGCCCCTTGGCTAACAAAGCATATATGGTATGTTAATCAAAACTGGTCTTTTGAGCCCTATCACAATTCGGCTGAAGAATCCTTTATTCCCCACCAAAAAAGCTCCTTAGATGAGTTGTTTTGAAGTCAGGGAATAATGGGCTCTGAAGGCCCATGAATTGAGATTACAGGCTGCTCCAAAGGCTGTAGGCTGCACTGCTGTAGCTAATACTACTAGCCTATCCAACTCACCTGGGCTGATATCCCATTCCTAGGGATGGATGATGGATGATGTATGTATCGGCACTCGGACACAGAAATTGGAAGAAGGGAAAAGTGGAAGAGAGAAAAATGGGGATGGATTTCACGGTTTGGGAAGAAATTGAGCGTTCAGGGAGGTACCTGAAGAACTTTTGCTTCATTCCAAAATCAAAATTCGGTTATTTTGTTGTGTTTTATGATATGGGTTTTGATTTATTATCTCCAGCTACCGGGTTTGCTCCATGTACGAGGAGGCTGCATCGTTAGCTTCCTCGGTTCATGGTGACGATGGGAAGTTGGAGTTGTAAGACGTGATGGAGTCCACCGGTATGGTTCTGGTTCAGTCCTTGAAGGAACTAGGCAGGTATTTTCCTTTCTGTTGCTATTGTTAGAAAAGAAAGCAGAAGGGAAAAGGGAAGGAAACGGTTTATGAATAAACTTGTTATAAAGGGTCATGGTTGATTGCTTTTTTAAGTCAATTTTACTTGTGGGTATGATTTTTGCAGAACTTCTGGGATTGTAGATGAGCTCAGAACTCTGTTTGTCTCTGTTGATGCGATCCCGGTTCTTCTAACTGGGTATTCTTCACTCTATTCCTGTTACCTTCTATTTCATTTTTTGACATGCTATGCAACATAAATTGAGGTTTTTTCATGTGCTGAGAAATGGGTTGCATTGAGATTCATTAACTAAACTTTTTTTTTTTTGGAAAAAAAAATGCCTCCAGCAGAGGAAATTAGAGTACAATGAGGAGAATGGTGCCAATTTTCATTCACACTTTGTTTGTCATGTTCTGTTTCCAAATATCAAAAGGTTCAAGTTTAGGTATCAGGGAATTTCTTGAGGAGTTCCTTAGTAAGTGAAGGAATGTGGTTGAAAAACACTAATTCCTCGTTGGTGCAGAAGGAATAATGGATTTCATGGAAGGATGCGATATTTTTTCATGGGAATTGATAAGTATATGGAAGTTGTTGAGTTGTGTGCTATCAGGCTTCTTGCAGCCGTTTCCATTGATGTGGAGCTTGCAATATCTTGGAGTTGAGGAAGCCATGTTGCCTAAGGAAAAACGTCAGGTAACATATACTATTTCCGTGCCACGTTGCCTGAGGAAAAACGCCAGGCAACGTGGCTGTACAACCAAGTAAAATTCGAGCCCAAATAGGCACCAGAAATAGAAATAGCATGCATGAGGATGAGACAATTTTTTCCATGGAAGATTCAACGGCTATCCGTAGGCATCTCAGGCTCAGATGCAACAAACAACAAAAAGAAAGAAAATGAAGACTACGTCAACCCAAGAGGTGTCTCTTTTAATATTCTACCATGCCTATTCTTAGCACGTTTTTCTCTCTGCCTCTCCCTCACTCTCTTCCATGCCATCGAAATTCTACCTCCATTACAAGCTTTCTCTTCCAACACCAATTCCAGTTTGCAGCTACCTTTGTAAAGGGCGCGCACTCCGGCCCTTTGGTGCGCGTTCCTCCCTGCAACGCCATGGCCTCCTCCTTACCCCTTCCCACCCTTCCCACCCTCCTCATCCTCTTCCTCCTCCCACTTTCCTCCTCCGCTGCCTCTGAGGCTGAAACCCTCCTTACCTTCAAATCCTCCATTTCCAACAATACCGCATTATCTTCATGGGACATCAAGAATCCTCTATGCAAGGGGAACTCTGCCAATTGGGTTGGTGTTGAATGTTTTCAAAATTCTGTTTGGGGTCTAATACTTGAGGGTAAGGGATTTACTGGCACTCTTGACATTTCTGCTCTCGCTAACTTGCCATATTTGAGAATTATAAGCTTAATGGACAATGGTTTTACTGGTCCCATACCGGAAATAAAGAAAATTCCTGCATTGAAGGCGGTGTATTTGTCTAGGAATCATTTATCTGGAGACATTCCTGGGGATGCATTTACCGGATTGTTGGGGCTGAAGAAGCTGCATATGTCTCAAAATCAGTTCTCTGGTGGGATTCCTGTGTCATTGGCTTCCTTGCCTAAGCTTTTGGATGTCAGGCTTGATGGAAACCATTTTGAAGGTCAGATTCCGGAATTTAAGCAGCAGGATCTTGCAGTATTAAATGTCTCCAACAATGCATTGTCTGGTCCAATACCGGCAGGCCTAAGCAGGATGTCCACCGCCATGTTTCAAGGTACTAGAAAATTTTAATATGATCATTTCTTTCCTCTGCAAACAAAGCAAGGTAATTTTTATGTGTTAACATTGTTTTCCTTTCAGGGAACAAAGGTCTCTGCGGCCAACCATTCAAGCCATGCACTTCAACTACTCCTGAAACCAGTTCAACTACTCCGAATGCCAGTTCGACCAGTTTGAATCCCAGTTCAACCAGTCCGAATGGTACTAGCTCCACCACCAAGACTACCAGCAAACCCTCCACTTTAATTATCCTGAGCATTGTCATACTCTCTGTGATGGCATCATTAGCCATTCTTGTCATCTTGTTAGCCCTTCCCCGCAAGAAACGACAGCCTGATTCTGTGGAGGCACCTCCATCAAACGTGCAAAATATATCAGGTATTAATGAGGACCGATCCTCACACAACTCTTCCTCTGGTAAGAAGGCAGAGGTTAAGGTCTCGTTTGTCAGGGAAGACAGAGAGAAGTTTGACTTACGGGACTTGCTCAAGGCCTCGGCTGAGATACTAGGGAGCGGTTGCTTCGGGGGGTCATATAAGGCAGTGTTGACGTCGGTGGGACAGGTGATAGTGGTGAAGAGGTTTAAGCAAATGAACAACGTTGGGAAAGAGGAGTTCCAAGAGCACATGAGGAGGATAGGGAGGTTGAGCCATCCTAACTTGATTCCTCTTGTGGCTTACTATTATAGGAAGGAAGAAAAACTCTTGGTCACCGATTATGTTCAGAATGGCAGCTTGGCTGTTCATCTTCATGGTATGTCACCCTGTTCCTTCTATGCATTTTATTCTAAGAGTAATGCTATATATTCAGGCTGAATAGCACCGACTGAAAATGGGGTCGAGGCCTAGATGCATAACATATCTCTAGGATTGACTTGCTGAGTGAAAAGAGACGATAGGAAACTTTCAGCTCCATTTTGACAGACATTATTTTATTTTATGGTGTTTCAGACCACCAGTCTCTGGGGAAACCAGGCCTAGATTGGCCAACTCGATTGAAGATTGTGAAAGGAGTTGCCAAAGGACTTGCATACCTGTACAAGGAGCTCCCTAGCCTAATGGCACCACATGGTCACCTCAAATCTTCAAATGTTCTTCTCAATGAGTCCTCAGAGCCCCTCCTCACCGATTATGGACTCATGCCTGTAATCAACCAAGAGAGCGCACAACAGCAAATGGCAGCCTACAAATCCCCTGAGTACATCCAAAAGGGTCGTCTCACAAAGAAGGCCGACATATGGAGTTTCGGGATACTAATCCTAGAGATCCTCACTGGGAAAGTACCTACCATCTTCCTGAAGAATAGTATAGGGAACGAGGAGGATTTGGCTGCATGGGTGAGCTCAATGGTCGCAGAAGGGCACACTGCAGAGGTGTTTGACAAAGAGATGGGAGCGGCCAAAAACAACGAAGGAGAAATGGTGAAGTTGTTGAAGATAGGATTGAATTGTTGCGAAGATGCAGAGAAGAGGTTGGAATTGCAAGAGGTTGTGGAAAAGATCGAAGAGTTAAAGGAGACAGACCCTGATGACGATTTCTTCTCTTCCATTAGTGATGTGGACAAGAAGTCGTCAAGAGGGTTGTCTGATGACTTTAAGTTCAGTTGAAAAAGGAGACAGGAAAAAACTGATCAAACAACCATAGAAATTTGGCCGGACTCGGCTCCAGTGTTGTCGGAGGAAAATTACAGTTGCAGTTGTTACAGACAAGAGATGATGGGATGGAGTTTGGTCGTGAGAAAGAAAATGTAAAATTTGGATTTTAGTCTTTTTTGTGTCATTTTTTTTTTATAGCAATTCGTTAGGAGTTTTCCTTAGATTCGTACGTCTTTCTCTATCTCTTGCGTCTCTGATGGGCAAAATTTCTTTGAAAGAAACTACAAAAGATGTGTTAATGGATAATTTATGGGATTAACTTTGTTCTTCCTTGATGCAACTTAAACCTTAAATTTGTTGGGAAAATAATCAGTAGAAACAGTAATTAAGGGTGCCTTTGGATTGTGGTGGAGAGTTTTTTCGTATAGTCACGTAGCACTTTTAGATATATATATGTTTGGTAATTTTTTTTTCAAACTATTTTTTTTAAAAGTTATAAAAAGTCACATTAAATTTACAGTAATTTTATGTATGAAGTTAAAAGTCTCATTTTAGAGTTTTTGACTGTGATTTTTACAAATAACACATAATATTTAATATAATTACAAAATTACTCAATTAAACTTAATTTCATATAATTTAATTACATCATAATTTATAATACTTTAATAATTAAAAATTTTAAAAAACCTAAATTATTAAAAAATAATAAATATTATATATTTTAATAATTATATATCTTATAATATTTTAAAATTTTTAATTAATAATTAATAAAATTTATCATATTTCATATATAATACTTTTAAAAATAAATAACCAAACACCAACATAACTTATAACCAAATATCAAAATAACTTATAACCAAATACCAAAATAACTTTTAATCACAATTATAATATAATACAATCACAATTAAATACAACCATAACTATAATCACAAGTACTTTACAACAATCTTAGATGCACCCTAAGCCTTCTCCATTTTGTGCATTTCTTTTTGTACATATGAAGAGTGAATGTACTTCTTGTTTTTGTGTTTAATGGGTGTTGCGGGTTTATAGGTAGATTTACTGAAAGAAAGTGAAGGAATACTTACGGATTTAATTAATTTACTAAAAATATTTAAATAATTTTATATTTTTTTATACAGGTCAACTTAAAAAATATGTTTTTTATATGTATACATGCATTATTGATTACTGTTATTAAAAATGTGTATATTTATTTATATAATTATTTTATTTGTATTTATTTATATGTTCCTTAGGAATGGGGCAAATCTATTAAGTTTCATTTTGTAGTTTTGGAAGATTTTCAGAACCCGAAAGAATGATTTTGTACTTATGTTTGAACACGGTATTCCATCGGCTCTAAAATAACTTTCACATTTTAATTCTTTTTATGAGTTAATAATTGTAAATTATTTATATATTTTTTACTTATATTACTCTTAAAAAACTAAAAATAAAGAGAAAATTTTAGTAATACTAGAAATAATTAAATTAAATTTAACCAATGACAATATTAATAGAATAAGATAAAAAATATGTATTTATTTTTAAAAATAATAATAAATAACAATTAATTTAAAACAAATTTTGAATTAAAAGTGACAATTACTTATGAAGGAAGCACCAATTACAAATTATAGAAGACAATACCAATTATTAATGATTGAAGAAAATTAAAACAAGAAAAGCTTACAAACTTCTTCTTTTTTTTTCTTATCTTGGTTGTACAAGAGATAATCATCTTTTATCTCTTATTTCACTCTATTTGTATATTATGTAATTCAAATTTAAAATTTTTTATTTTTTTTGGTTTCCCGCCTGGTATCCGGGGTTCACCCCGACTACTCCGGATTCGACCAGCTGTGGCGCACCAAAATGATAAGTGGGTCTCCCAACGAAAGCTGCTGCGTACACAAGGTTTCGAACTCGAGACCTTGCTTAAGCTGGAACAAGCCGCTTGCTACTTGATCCAACCCTTCGTTGGTAAATTTAAAACTTTTTATTCTCAATGAAAAAAGATAATCATTAAGTTATTAAATTATTTAAGTCGTTAGCTACAAAATCTTGAAAACAAACTCAGAGTACATTTTAACTCTTATATAACAAATCATGACAATTTAATAAATCACCAAACTAGAGCAATATACAAAATCGCAGAAGATAGAGTGATTAAAAATGAGATCGCTACTTAATCATTTTTTCGATGTTAAAAATTTTATTGGCTATTGTTTGGTGAATCTATGCCTTCCAGTTTCACATTCAGGTACGATTTTGTGAATTATACTTACTCCCTTATACTTATTCATCCGACATTATTATACATGTTAAGATATAGACCTTATCTAAAAGTTCGCAAAATTCATAGCATAAATATTCATCTATTGACTAATGATCTAAGCTATTTAATAGTAATTCTAACTTTAAGTAGAAGAGATCTTGAATTTTACTTTAAATTTAAGTGGAGTAGTAAATATAGGGACGAGGCAAAATTGTTTTTTTTATTATATTTAAAATAAAAAAAAAATTATATATACATTTATTGTAAGTTGTAACAGCCCGTTAATCATGGGTCAAGGCGAGCTGCCTTCGGGAGAATACTAACGTTATAGCTTTGTTAATAACAAACCCAGAAAATGGATAAACATATTTAATTCTAATTTTCTTATTCAACAATATATTCAGACTTTTTTTTTTTCTTAAAAATAAATCTTTTATGAATGAATACCCATGAAATGAACATTGATTTCAAAGAATGCGTAATGTAGCAGAAATCAGGAGGGCGGACGGAAGAGAAAGCTTCGTCGCGGTGGCCGTTAGCAAAGATAAATCCAGCCGGAGTACTCTCAAATGGGCGGTGGAGAACTTCGTCACCAGAGGCCAAACCCTCCGCCTCGTCCATGTTCTCCAAAAAACCCCGACTCAAGGTACACAAATACACATGATCTCATGATCTCGAATTTATCATGATTTTTGGTTAATTTATCTTTCTATTTGATCGCAGATGAGACATTACATGACAATGAAAACATGGAATTGTTGTTCCTCCCATTTCGTTGCTTTTGCACGCGTAGACATGTAAGTGATATATAAATTGAGAATTGTTTGGACGATCCATTTTCTTGAGTATGTGTATATATGTTTATGCTTTCAAAGGAATGGGTTTCGTATGACATGCAGATACAATGTGAATGCGTAGTGCTTGAGGATCCCGACGTCGCAAAAGCACTCATCGAATACATTACCCAGAATGGCGTCGAGACTTTGTTGATTGGTGCAGGAACAAAGCATGGACTTTCCAGGTACATATGTGTGTCATTTGGTACATGAGAAAGTTAGTGTGCCTCAACATGATGACCTTAACATAAAATCAAAGAAAAGTTTTGAATTGAATAGGTGTCGACTTGAATATAAGCTCTTATTCATTACCTTGATTTCATTTTATATTAATTCAAAGTGTAAGGAAGAAAGAGTTTCATGTGTTTCCTCCTGCACAGATTATTCAAGACTCCAGATATTCCGGGGAGCATACTGAAATGGGCACCAGATTTCTGCAACGTCTATGTCATCTCTAAAGGGAAGCTTACGGTGGTAAGATCAGCAACTCGTCCAGTTCCGGTTCCCCAGGGAGTTGGAGGATCACAACTCAGAGCACAGAACTTGAATAATGAACCACCTTCTGTCATGTAAGCATATATATGATTATAATGAACTTGGGAAAGTAGAGGAACCTGTGCAATTGACATAACTGTAATGAACAGATCACTCTCCAGAGAAAACAGTGACCGGTTTTTTGATGATTTGATTGGACTTGAGAATGGCATGTCGTTTGCAGCTGCTGGTAGGCTAAGCACTGATAGTTCATTCATTTCCTTCTATCAAAATCTAGGGTCCAAGGACTCTCCTGAACACACCAAAAAACTGGATCCGCTGCTATCTCCAAGAAAATCTTGTGTTTCTGATATCCCATCAATCTCGCATGAAAGTGGCAGAACATCATGTCCCTCGCCATGCACTGTAAGCCACCATTTCCCAACCATCTATTAGAAATCAAGCCTTTTGTGACTCATTCTCTGTTAAAAGACCAAAAAAAAAAAAAAAAAAAAAAAAAGGAAGAAGAAAGAAGAAGAAGAAGAAAAGAGTATTTTGACAGATTTTCTTTTCTTCACAAAATCCATTGCAAAAGCCTTATTACACAAAAAGGATATGCCGCTGGCTTGTCATGAAGATGGCTGAAATTTGGTTGAAATTAATGTTTTTCAGGAGAATTTAGAGGATGAGATAAGAAGGTTAAAGGCAGAGCTAAAGCAAACTATAGACATGTACCATGCAGCCTGCAAAGAAGCACTAGTAGCAAAACAGAAGGTACGTACAGTTTAAGTTTCAATTAAATCTTATGCCCTAGCCGCTTTTTCCAGTCAGATCCAGTAACGGTATTGGTGCAACCATTTAGGTGAAATGGTTCATGACAAACTAATTGTATATGATTCACATAAAACAGGCAGTGGAACTCCAAGAATGGAAGAAGGAACAAGAGAAAAGACTACAGGGGTTACAGACGCTGGAGGAAGCTGCGGCTGCGATCGTGGAGAGGGAGAAAGCAAAATGTATAGCAGCCATGGAGGCAGCTGAAGCAGCTCAGAAGATTGCAGAGTTAGAGGTTCAAAAGAGAGTGAAGGCAGAGATGAAAGCTCTGAGAGAAGTGGAAGAGAGGAATAAGGTGTTGGATGCTTTGGGGCAGTCTCACATTGTTCTCAAGTACCAAAGTTTATTCCACATTTTAGCTGTCCTTTTCTTAGTCTATTTTTTCCTTTCAGTGTTTAAATGATATGAACTTATATATACTTCTAATATTTATACAACTACAAAGAATGTTGTAATTTTCTTTTTCCTTTTTTTATTCTTTTATCATTAAAGGAAACTTTTACTAATTAAAGTTTTTTGTACTGACTCATGGACAAAGATAAAATAATATTCAGACACATAATCAAATGACAAACTTCATTCACCATCCAAACATGATCCATTGCCTCTAAGTCATTTGTTTCTTCTCACCTTGACCAAGGTTCAATTCTTCGCGAAGAGCACAAGTAATTGGAATTACTAACAAATTTTATAATCTCACATCCCAACATAAGCAACTGAAGATATAAACTTACATAATTTTAGTATGAGCAAGCTCGTTTAGTAGCAAAAGTTAGTTGGGTTATTTTTCCATACCCTCATCTAATAAAATATCACAGGCCCTTCGGAGGATTGCAAGAGTTTTTGGGGTACTGGCCATCATTGAGATGCCTTGTAGGAATACCAGGGGAAGGAGAGCATAGCAGTGGCAATAGACAAAGACAAAGGAAGCCAGTACACCCTTAAATCCTGTTGATCATCTTCTCTCCTGAGGTTAACCTGTCACAATTCTTCATGTTGAAACAAAGCCATGTTCCATTCCTAGCCCAAGTATGATCATCGGTCCATATGCATTTTGCAGTTCTCAAATACTAAGATATGTGCTTTTATTGAAGAAAGCAAGCATTTTCTTTGTGTTTGATGCAATTCTTTTGAGAAAAGACCAAATGAACTAAGCAATAATTATTTGTTTTACCTCTCATGCCTGCAGCTGGGAACCACGTCAATATAACAGCTGTCAACAATGATGTTACAAGATCATATAAAAAACAATTTGATGTTCAAGCCAGAGAAGTCTTTCATCCATTCTGATGCTTCTGCACGGGAAAGTATGTAAGTAAGAAGAATATTAGATAACAATGGGATTGAAGGCTCAAATGCTTTTATAAAGTATATACAATTTTTTTAAGAATCAGCCAAAGTTAGTTGTGCTCTGAAGTGAACCAAGAGCACCCTGTATGCACGTTTAGACATTAACAAGATAAGCTTGATATGCTTATTGAAAATTATCAAGTTAGAAAATTACAGAAAATTTAGAAAATTTTTATACTAAGAATTCCTAAGAAAATGCATCTCATTTCATCCAGAACACACTACAAATATGATAAGCGAAACCATATTAAAAAGGTTACAACAAGACCTGGCATTTAGTTCCACTAAAGCAACATGAACAACCACACTAAGATAACAAGCAAAGGCAACAGTGCAAAGGGACTTACCATGCAGATACATCTGGGTACAATTCCGAGTTCCATCTCTTCGCCAAAAGGGAGTAATCACTACCAAAATCTCAAATTTTATGAACTGAGCATAAGCACTGTAATGAAGCATAATGTCATTCAGACAAGAGGACATGATATCACCATAAACCACACAGCCAGCTACCGATCAGTAATTCCAAAAAATCTGTTTCCTTCTGTATTGTTTTTTGAGATAGATTGCAATCAGCTGTCTGTAAGTCCATTTCTTTTGTCTGTTAAATTCCATAACTGCCTCTGAGCTTAAGTGGAAGTCCCCTTTACCCATAGCCTCAAACACAAGTGGATCCGTTGACACAAGCGGAGAATCATCCACATTCATTTTGTTGAGAGCAAAGTTCAAATTTTTTGCAAGTCTTCTATCCAAGTAAGCATCAACAAGACAACCATAAGTAACCAAGTCAGAAACAACACTTTCATGTTTCATATGTTCAAGGCTGAGATGAAGATCCCAGAACAAATTCATTCTTGAGAAGGCCAGAGCTCGTATATTAAATGTAGTAAGATCAGGACCGAAACCAGCATCCAACATTCTAATAAATTCCCTTTGCAATGTTTTCATTTTGAAATTGACGGCAAAAGAGAGCAGCAAAAGATTCCATAAGAGATTGCCCACATTTCTTCTCTCAAGACCAACATCCCTCAAGAACTCACTCAATCTATAAAACTTTCTTTCCCTTATATAAGCAATTGACATTGCCCTTATTCCTTCTTCCTCTATAAGATGTCTAGACCTTTTGAGACGACCATAAGACGTCTCCATCTCTGTCAAGGAACCAAAAATGCTATAATATCTAATAAAAGTGTTTCCAGTGGCAGAGTCTACAGGGAAACCCCTTGCAACCATTTCCTTCAGCGTATTCTCCATTAACTCAAGCTTCCCTAGCTTTCCAAAGCAAGAGATAGCCACTGAGTACAGGTCAGGTACAAAGTCAAAGTTTCTCGAAATTACCTGATCCATAATTCTCTTCACTTTGTCAAAATGTCCCATCTTTGCATAAGCGTCCATTAATTCTGAAACTATTTGAATACTGGGAACCCAAGAACTATTTAACATTTCATCCCATACCCCCTCAGATTGCGAAAAAAATTCATTTTCTGCGTAACAGAGCATCAAAGCACAAAGGGTTGAATTGTTTGGTGCCAAACCCTCAGATTTCATCTCTACCAAAAGCTCTTGAGCTAGGTGAGGCAATCTCCTTTTACTTAATGCTTGAATCAATGAAGCACAATCTACAAATTCACCCTTGATAAAGATTCTTCCTTTTTGCTTCCACTCCTTCATTATCTGTTCCAAGCACAACACCATACACAATAAAAGAGAAAAATATAGACCATGAAGGTATCAAAATTCCAAAACCCTTGAACAGCTTGAAATTGCATAAGAGACAACGAAATCCCAGATTTTGTTTTCTTTCACTTGTGAAAATAAAACAAATTACTTTCTAAAAAATAAGAAAAACTAACATCCTAAGTAGCAAAGTGAGCAAGAAATTCGACAGCATTCTAAAGCAAAACACAGGATTCTCTAAATTGAATTTAAGTTTTGGAAGTTTACCTTGCGTGCCAAAGCTCGATTCTTGGTGGGGTTAATGTGGCAACAAGGGGTGAATTTCAGAGGGGGTAAGGGAGAGACAGAAGATGTGGTGAGAAGCAACCGAGTTTCCATTTCAGTTTCTGGGTGAGGGTGGGGGTTAATTTACCACTTAAAAAACAAAGAACAATCTCAGGGACTTAATTGATAAGAAATAAAGATTTAGTACTCAATTGATCAAAGAATAAAAAATAAGTACTTAATTGATTAACGGAAACAGACTTGTGGATCCTACACATGGCAATCATTTGACCGGAACTGTAAAAAAGTGAGAGGTAAAAAGTAAAATTGTCCGTTTCCTGGCGCGCATTCAAGAAGTGGGGGCCCACTTTATCCTCGCCCCTACACTTGGCTCCGTTTCTTGATGACACGTGTCTCACATATTTCACGTGCCGTGCTGCTGTGTCCCCCTTAACTCACGTGACCTTCGTAACGTCACGTGACTCTTTATTTATTT